TATTTGATTGAAAAAATAATAACTAAAAAGATATTGACTTTAGGTATAGGATATGGTATAGCCAGTTTACTCAGAATTTTATCTAGAATTAAAAAATGTAAAAATATACGAGGTGTCCTGTTTCAAATAACAAAGTGAAAGACATTTCCGGTAAAACAGGAAGTATTATTTTGTTCAAAATAATTTAGGAAAAAAGTCTAAATCGAATAATTTACGCTATTAAAATTTTAAATCGATGTCTTTCGCGATTCCCTAGAAACTTCTAACGGACTACGTACGTGAAACACCCTGTATATTAAACGTCATTTATGTGTTATATTGTACTTAATTATTAATTAAAGATACGACAATATTTGTATAAAAATAACAAAATGTACTAAACTAAACATTTATTAATACTGCTACTGCTAATTCAAAACTGATCCTGGCCACAAAAACAACATTTGCATAAAAAAGTTAATATATCAAATAATAGTCAAATATCAATACTTTAACAGAGTTGCTTCTTCGATTATTAATAATTATTTAATTAAATTATCTCCAGCGCACCCTGTACGTTACAATCTAAATTTTAAATCGTTACGTTTTGAAATAAAAAAGTTAATTAAAAAAAATTTAATTTCTTCCATTTTGACAGAGATTTTTTTGTTGAAAAAAGTAGTGCATTTCGATGCAAATCGACCGTTCGATCCTTTCGCGAAACCGTAGTTAAACATAAAGAAATTTGCATTGTTACACAGATTTTTATTTAAACTATTTATCAGAACAGAACTGTATGAATTAAAAAACTCACATGAAAAAAGTAAAATTTGTTTATTCATTAAACTAAACTTAGCTCACCAATCACTTTTAAAGCATTTGATAAAGGCTGCAGCCTTTATAAAAGATGTTAACTAAAAAGTTAATAAATTAATTTGAAATTGTCTATGAAAAATGTATTTGATCCCGATGGTTTTTACTATGTAAAAATATTCATTTATGAATAGACAAGCAGGAATACGGGCATGCATATAAATTTAAATAATTCTCCTTTAAAGATGAATCCTGAATAATAATTGGAGGGTTAATTGCGGGGGAAAGCTTGCTGATCACCATATTAATGATGTCTGTTATAGTACGGAAGGTACAGTTGAGAATAAGAAATCCAATTCATATCTAACTCATAAATGATCCGGTGGTCAGCTGCACTAAAAAATATTTTTTATCCATTTTGCGTTCATAATGACTTCATTATAACACCGCTTTCGGTGCTGTAATGAGATACTTTATCCCACCCAAAATTTGATTTTATAGGTTGGCTATACTTTAAACAGCATAATAGTTTGAATATAGGTTATAATATTTTTATGATTTTTCTAGTACTTACGAGACTTTTCTGGCAATAAATTTTGTTTAACACCAAAGAAAATTCTTTTTTTCTTCTTTAACATTAACGGCCGCTTATTGTAAATAAGTAAATTAAGGACGGCATGGCAAATCAATTTTATTATTAACTGTCAAACCAATGACTGTAATACTAACTATCTAAAATTAAATTTAAGGTATAAAATTATTTTTTTTATAGAAATTTTGCAAAATAGATAAAATTGCATAACGAACTGATGTCATAAGACCTTTTATCGCACTCGTCCATTACAAATTGTCCGCGTGCGACAAAATGACGTCTTATGACATTAGTTCTTTAATAATAATAATAATAATAATAATAATTCATTTATTTGCCCAACGGAGTAAAACTCCAATAACAGAACAAAAATATAAATAAGGTTTACATTTCATTTACTAAAAATAAAACTACCTAATACTAAACTACAAAAAAATTAAAAATAAGTCCTTGCCACCCTAATAATATCATTTAAACTAGTAAAAAACAAATCACAGTCATGACTAATACAGTTATAATTTCTTGACATGGTAAACACTGGTGATTTAATTAAGGTTATTGTTCTCGCATTGTCAGAGTAGAACATATCACTAGATCGAGAATTAGATCTGGGTACATGAATATTAAATAGAAATAAAATATTGGCCGAATCAATTTGGTTATTAAAAAGCTTAAATAAGAAGACCGGAACAAGCTCTCCTGCATTGTAGGGAATCCATATTAAAGCGATCTAACAAATGTTGATGATTTATACCTCTAGCGGGGTAAATGTTATCTAAACGAAAAGCGAGTAATTTAAGAAATTTACGCTGAACATTTTCGAGCATGTCAATATAATTGTTATAGTAGGAACTCCTTACAATGGAACAATACTCTAGTTTTGATCGAACGATGCAAAAATATAAATATATCAAAGCGAATTGATTTGAAAAACCGATAGAGTTTCTGCTAATAAAACCTAATAACTTGTAACTACTAGAAACAACACGATTGACATGATCAGTAAATGACAACTTGCTATCAAAAGTAACGCCCAAATCATCAACACATTGAGTTAACTGTAAGTTAACGTTATTAATTTGATAATTAAAAGTAACTTTTGTTTTCTTTAGAGTATAGGAACAGTATTTGCATTTTTTAGTATTAAGTTTGAGTTTGTTGGAAATGCACCAATCATACACCCGATTTAGCTCAGTTTGTAGAGAGAGGCAATCATTCATTGAATCGACTTTGGCAAATAATTTTAGGTTATCAGCAAAAAGTAAATGTTGGCAATTAATTGCCAATGACAAAATATTGAATATTGAATATTGAAAAATGACAAAATATTAAACAATAAGGGCCCTAGATTAGAGCCTTGAGGGAGTCCAGAAGTCGACACAAAGAAATCAGACCTAAAGCCATTGTAGGTTACAAAGAGCTTACGGTTAACAAGGTAGGAATGCATAAGGGATACTAGAGAGCAACTTAGGCCAATTGATGAGAGTTTGATTAATAATAATTTATGAATAATATACCATTATTGTGTTAAAAACATTTATGCATTTATTTTTATGTTGGTTCACCTGTTTAAAAATAAACAAGGATAAATGGAAAAGCTTAGTATTAAGAATATATTATTTAGCTTTTTTAATGCACACCTATATCATCATTTATTTAAATTTAATTAACAAAACATTGTTTTCGATCCTACACACCCTAAAGCTACCATAAATTTACCATATTTACAACAAACAAATTTACAAATAACATTTTAACTTACCTTTCCCAGTATTTTGTTCAATGTTTTTTATTAGCAAATTTTACCAAAAAATATTGTTTATCCGAAATCGGCAGTAAAGAGACTTTATTGTATGCAACCGATTATACATTTTAAGATGTGTCTACTGCTCCTCAGCAGCAACTAAATAATATTAAAAAAAGCACCGTCGCAGGTCGATAAAATGTTGTTTAATAAAAATAATAAGTTAATTTTATTAATTAGATTAGACACTTCGATCATCAAATGACATTTGATTTAATCACCAATATTAATTATTAGTATTATTAAATGTGATTTCGGATAAAATTAATATGCACCTTGGCATTAGTATTACATTATGTATCAAGTTTGATAAACGCCATTTTATACTTAAATTAATGAGTGTATAGAAAAGTTTATAAACGAGGTGCATACTATACTTTTTTTTCGACAAATACTTATTATTATCTTAAAATGATTTAAATCAAAAATTTGTATAGAGCGCCATCTATGAAACAATATGATAATCTGTGTTTCACCGTCAAATGTCAAATTTTTAAAATTTAAATTTTAAACGCAGATTATTAAGGTTATAAATCGAAATGTATTTCTTAAAAATTGACAGTTTTTCACAGTGAAAGTAAAGAAAATGTTTTATGAGCACTTTACAGTGGAGTCCGTGCCCGAATTTAATTTAGTTTACTGCCGGCGAAATTAAAAGGTCAGTACAATGTTCATATAAACTTTTCAAATATGGGCATTGAAAAACTATTAAATACTTTTGTATTTTTGTATTGAGATAAAAAAATAATTTTCACATTTAGTATTATTTTACAAGAAAAGCACTTTATTTAACGATTGTATGACATTTGACAACTGTCAACTAACTTAAAACTAACTTCAGCCCGTGACTAAAAACCTGTTGCTAACTTCAGCCCGTGACTAAAGCGCCATAAAGCCACAACTTGTCAATGTGTATTTAAAAGGTCACTTAGTGTCATGGAAACATGTTTTGAAGGTGGGAGTAGAAAAAGTCATTTTTTATTACTCACGTGGTTATTTGCCTCGGCTTTCGCCTCTGCAAATAATTTACACATTCGTGATAAAAAATACGACTTTACTGCCTTGATACATAAATAACTATACCTAAATCAACAAAATATTTTTTTTACTATTTAAATTAATTTAGTAAGTTAACAGCATACTATTAAACTAAAATTTAGCAATACGAAAGATATCATTGTTTATTTGGTTATGAATTACGAATTCCCTTTGGCCCTTACAATCTTAATTAGGTTGGCAGCAGTTGTGCTTAACAATTTTACTCTGAAAGGGTATATTATTTAATCAAACAATAGTGAAGTCTTTATGACGTATATTACATTTACAATAAGTGTACACTCTTTTAGCCATTTTTAAATTATTGTGTATTGTAAATGAAATTTACTTTAACGCACTAAAAAGTATAATATATATAATTTCTTAAACTCACCTTTTTTAATGGACATTTTTTAAATGCAGAAAATATATTAAAAATACGTATGTATGTATGTAAGAAAGTTTAGAAATAGAACATAGTTTTTGCTTTTGCTTAGTTTTGTACTCAACATTTTTTATAAACAATAAATTTATGTTCTTTTTTTAAACAAATCCTAGTGTAAATATAACCTTAAAAGGATTATTAACTAGAAAAAAAATATATTTTCGAAATTATTAAGCATTTTTAAATAAGTTTTTTAATGTGAATTTTTTACTTTTTCCTATAATATCAAGTGACGTGAGCCACCTGGTATATTAAAAATTTAACTACACCGAAAATATTCTGCGTAAGGGTCTAATTTCATTAAATAAACGACCGTATTATTATTATTACAGGGTTTATGGCGTTAAGGGCGGTTTTAGAAGCTAAGGGAGTTCTAGGCAAGTTCTTGGACCCCAACTCATCAGAATGCTGAAAGGAATTTCTCACGTGAGCTAGTCTCACAGCCTTTAGCGGCTAAACCTCTCTCTAAAAAGGTATGTATGCATTAATGCGATGTGGTCAATTTCTGTCTACTAGCCAGTCAAAATCCTTTAAATGTACACTCAGAAAAATGTACTATGCTCCACACCTCAAAGACGGAACGCAGTCTTTTAAATATTTGGCATTTAAGGCTTTTCAGGTTATGTATCTGTCAAAGTATAGTCAACGAAAGAAATAATATTATGTTTAGGCGTTAAAAATGTATAAATCTTTATAACATTACAATAACAATGGATGGTTTAAGAATTTAAATACTGCATTTAATGAAATTCTAAAGTGTATCGTACCAAATAAGTAATATTTTTGTGCATTTGGTCCAAATATCTGGTTTTCTCCATAAAATAATTTTAACTAAACAGCATTTATTTAAAAAAATCTAGCTTCTCTATTATGGAATAAGAATATCTGTATTAAAGGTAGGTTAATGTATTATAACAAAAATATCATCTAATTTTGTAATTTTAAGGTTAAAAAAATTATTTTGACCAAAATAAATAAGTATTTTGGATTATTTAAAAGACTGTATAATATGGTATTTAAAAATGTGGTAGTTTTTCTTATCCAGCTCAAAGTGTACCCACATAAAGTTTTGTCAATACAAATAGTTAAAAAGCTTCGACTGATTTTTATCTACATCAAAAAATCATTATCTTTAAAAATTTTAATAAATCACATGTCATGGGAGTATTAAATATTTTCACGTTGCAAGTTTCTCTAAAAATTGTTTGTTTTCTTATAATCTAACTTAAAGTAAGTATGCCGAGAGGTATGCACAAGTTTTGTCGTTAGAAGTATAAAAGCTTCAATTTAATTTGAACTATATTCAACAATTATTTAGTATACATATATTTATTTATAACCATATTAACACACTCTTTCAAATAATCCACTTATTTATTTTGGTCAGAATAGATTTTTCTAACCTTAAAATACAAAATTAGATGATATTTTTTGTTCTTGTACATTAACCTACCTTTGATACAGATATTCTTATTTCATAATAGAGAAGTTAGATTTTTTTTAATAAATGCTGTTTAGTTAAAACTATTTTATGGAGAAATGTAGACCCAATGCACAAAACAATCCAACCATCTTGGATAATGTAGCACATTTATAGAAAATTATGCTCCAATGGCATGTTGAACAACGGATTTTTCTCTATATATAATATATTAATTTTGAACATATTCTTTGGAAACTTCTTAAATGGAGATAATACCTTAAATATACAGTAAAAAAACTAACTTTTTACACCCTCTATATTTTGTAGTTATTTGCTTGAAGTTTTTAACGAACAAATGCAACCATTTTTTAAAAATAAGAAGATTAACTTTATTTATTACCGTCATAGAAACTTTTGCTGTAATTTGCAACTTCAGAAGTTATATTAGTTTAACTGCGTTCCTTAAGTGAAAAAGTAATTAAATATTTAAGTTTTGATACAAAAATATCAATAAAACTTAAAATTAAATTTCAGACTTTCTAACTCGACCTAGAAACTAGCAGATATTTGCGGGATCAAAAGTTTTAAATGGCGAGGCATTTTCCTAAAGTTAAAGTTTAATCATATAAATTTTATTTAATTATGAGTATTTTTTACCTGGCAATATAGAAGGTGTTTTGTAAGTGCATGATAAAACCATCGAAGAGATACCGGGTATTAAACTTAATTTTGTTAATTTTAATAAATATAATTTTTTTATAAATATCTACTAAACTAACAAATAAACTAAATAATAATTATAGACAGTGTCAGCAAGTTAGAAATTATAAACTACTTTAATTTTATTTTTTGCTCCACAACCAAGCTTCAATTTATTTTTTACTCGATAAGCAAGCTTCAATTTTAATTCCAAACTGAGGAAAGTAATATTTACCCAATAAATAAATTAGAATAAAGACTTTATTTTTTATGTTGCAATCGGCTATTTAGATATATCTACATTTTTTATTCAGTTGTTTTTTGATTTTTTTTAATTAGTTATTTTGCGTTTTTTTATATTTAATATAATGCTATACAGGGGGTTTCTGGAGAAAGGCAAACGATATGTATTAGAAATTTTAATTGCTTATACAATTTGATTAAGACTATACCTAAAGTCAATACTTTTCAAGATATTAATTTTTTTCGTTAAAATTTTGCTAAATGCATGTTTATCAAAAATAGCCTCTAATTTTTTTGTTATTATGTTTACTGACATGGGGTTGGAATTTTTGGAATATTAAAACATTGTTTAATAATTTAATTTTTTAAAGGTTTTTTAACAAACCCACTTGAAATTAGGTAAACTTCAAACAATAATAACGTTTTTATTGTAAATGAAAAACCCTGTATGTTTTAACATAATCAAATAGAACATAAAAGAATCTTTCGATTTCCTAAGTTAAAATTTCAGACATTTAACAATTTCTAATATTTTCAATACCATTTTATATCAAAAAACCTGTGAAATTCTAAATTTGGTTTAATGTGACAGTATCCATGGTTACCACCAAATCTGCCATTGTTTAAAATTAATTAAAATATTTGATTGAAAAATTAATACCTCAAAAAATATTGACTTTAGGTATAGGATATGGTATAGCCATTTTACTCAGAATTTTGTGTAGAATTAAAAAATGTAAAAATATATGAGGTGTCCTGTTTAAAATAACAAAGTTAAAGACATTTCCGGTAAAACAGGAAGTATTATTTTGTTCAAAATAATTTAGGATAAAGTCTAAAGCGAATAATTTACGATATTAAAATTTTAAATCGATGTCTTTCGCGATTTCCTAGAAACCTCTAACGGACTACCTGAAACACCCTGTATATTAAACGTCATTTAATTTTTAATAAAAGATACAACAATATTTGTATAAAAATGACAAAATGTACTAAACTAAACATTTATGAATACTGCTACTGCTGATTCAAAACTGATCCTGGCCACAGAAACATCATTTGCATAAAAAAGTTAATATATGAAATAATAGTCAAACATCAATACTTTAACGTGTTGTACTCAAATTTATAAAACAAAGTTGCTTCTTCGATTATTTACCCTTTAAAAATTGTTAAATTTTAAACTAAATTATCACCAGCGCCCCCTGTACGTAAAATCTAAACAAAATTTTTACATGCATTAATTGTTATTAGTAAGATCTACATTTTGTCCAAATTTTAAATCGATACGTTTTGAAATAAAAAAAAATGAAATTCTTTATTTTAACACAAATCGACCGTTCGATCCTTTCACGAAACCGTAGTTAAATGTCCAATATTATTGACATTATATTATATATCTACAAATATTTCATTTACATATATCTATATCATATATAATTCCTGTAGTATCCTATTTATTATGGTTTATAGCTATCTACAAATTATATAACCATTAATCCCGGCGCATTCGCCATTTTTGCAAAAATATTTTTTTAATATTCCTAGAAAAGTGCTGCGCTAGCCTAGCGAAATGGCTGTCAACTGGTTTAATTTAAAAAAATATATGCTTACAAAATACTTTTCAGTGTGTAATTTTAATATAAGCGTAATAATAAACGTAATAATTTTTTTAATTACATTTTTTTTTTGGATTATTTCACACAAATCTTTTTATAGCTTGATTAAGTTTTGTTTTTCCTCAATGACTAGACAGGTATTGACCACATCGCATTGTTAAACTCATTGTGTCACATTGCATTTAGACTTATCATAATCATTCTCTTTTATTTATGCTAAAGTACATTGCCTGGGTAAGTATTGTCTGTATTAAATATTCATAACCATGCAAAACCACATTTATATTTTGCGTGCAGGTTCTAAGGCACTAAATAACAAGGATTTAAAGGGTTGAGAATTAAAATAGGAGTGGAAGATCGACATTAACTTTCGACCTATCACAATTAACAACCTTGGACTCGGAATTGTATATTATTTAGTATTTCTATTGGACAATACTATTTTAAATAGTCGTTTATAATGGGCGATCTGTACTTTATATATTATAATATAATATCCATAATAATTTTTTCTACTCTTTTTTAACTCCTTTTTTGGAACTCTTTTTTTACTCTTTTTTTATATAAAAAGAGATATATTATAAAATTATTTTTTTTAAGATTATATGTTTTATAATACACTCACAGGCAAAATAATCGATCCCCACAAATTTTCGATGAATTTCAATCGCAAATAACTTTTTTATTTGATGTCGGATTTAAACGAATATTAAAGAATATTGTAGATAAATTATTGGACAATTGCTCACATTTTAAAAAATTACTAAAAAATAGACGTACGTTCATAATATACAGGTTTAAACAAAAATATGTTTTTTACCATAAGTTTAAGACTCTGTTGAGTGGCAAAACCGTATATTGTTCTAAATTAAGTTTTATTTATCAAGTCACATCTATTCTTAACAGTTTTGTTTTTGGTTCACCTCGATATATTTATTTTTGTGGAAAATATGGATTCTTTAAAAAAACATTGCAATTTCCAATATTTTTCTGTATGAAGAACTAAGGTTGCTATGGTCCATCCATATGCAATGGAGAATGACAGTGACGGTTTTGTTGAATTATCCCAAACTTGGACATGTCATACACGGCTTTCAAAAGCTATCAAATTGTTTTTTGCAAATTAATATTTAAATTTTGAGGTGTCTTCTCACTTTAAAAAATGGATATGTCCCCGACTGATGTTGCCAGAGCCATTAATTTAATCCAGGATGGACGGTCACAGTATTACGTGGCAAGTGTTTTAAACGTCACAAGAAGTAAAGTACAAAGGGCAACATCAGTCGGAGACATTTTTAAAAGTAAGAAGACACCTCAAAATTAACACATTAATTTACAAAAAACAATTTGATAGCTTTTGAAAGCTGTATATGACATGTCCAAGTATGGGATGATTCAACAAAACTGTCACTGTCATCCTCCGTAGACTATGGATGGACCATAGCAATCTTAGTTTATCATACAGAAAAATATTGGAAATTGCAATGTT